AAGTGTGCTGGGGAACAGAATGCAGGATGAAGTGCAGCCCTGGGAGCACAGCCCCAGGCCCCCCATGCACATCATCACCAAATCAGGTTGCCCAAAGAGGCTGTGGACGCCCCAACCCTGGAGACACTCAAGGCCAGGCTGGATGTGGCTCTGGGCAGCCTGGGCTGCTGGTTGGCGACCTGCACACAGCAGGGGTTGGAACCCGATGATCACTGGAGTCCTTTTCAACCCAGGCCGTTCTGTGATTCTAAGAAATTGGGGTGTCAGCACCGAGAGCCAAAGGAAACACTCTGAGCACCGCAGAGCTGTGCAACTCGGGGAAGGTGTGTGCGCAGCCAACGCCTCCGCTCAGCACACACAGAACTGCACAATTCTGAACGCACAGCTGCACGCTCCCAAATGCAGAGCCGCACACTTCTGAGCCCTCCTGCCCACCAGAGCTGCCTGATGCAGGCACAACAGAACAAGTAACACTCACCAAATCCATGAATGACGGCGACTACGTGCAATATTAACATTCAACATCTTCCACGCTGGTGTTTCTCTCCTTGTCGCCTGAGCGCGCTCAGCACATTCTGTGCTCACCCCCAGCTCCCCTCGTGCTGAACTTGTATCAGCAGCACGCAGATACCTCCACGAGTTTTTATTCTTTCTGATTACATGTCAACTCCCATTTCAGGGTGGATGTCACTTCGCACACGAATACAAACGACTTGGCAATCAGACCGTGAGGGTGCCGCGGAACAGCCTCTCCAGACTCCCATAGTTCTTCGTCTCTATCAGAAGAAAAAAGATCTATTTCTGGCAGAACCCAAACTGCAGCTTCCTGCTCTCATTTGTATCATCCCTTCCAGTGACACTGACACAGAAGGAAAAAAAAAAAAGCAGCGGCGGGTGTTCTCCAAACTCCAGAGACATCCCCCCGTTCCTGTTTATCCTCCCCAGGTCACACTCATCGCTCACTCAGACGCTGCTGAGCTCAAGTTTCCGACGCTCCCATCGCGTGTGACAAGCCGCAGGGATCGCTCCTCTGTGACAAAGGCCTGGGTTAGCAATGGCAACAAAGGGTGAGCCCTGAGGACGGCTCCCAGTGCCCCAGCAGCGCCTGGCTGGCCCTTGGCACAGGCAGCGGCACGCTCTGCTTCGCTCCGTCACTCGGGGACGCGTCTGTGCTCAGAGCGGAGCCCCGCTCCCTGCATCTGCTTCTAGGAAAATGCTCCAAGCAGGTACGTCTGCAGCCGCAGCCGCATCCAGAGGCTTTGAGCAAGAGCAGATTTTTGAGTCTCTGCGTAAAATGGAATTTTACAGGATTGACACTGAAGCTCTGCTGCTGAGCATCCGGCTCGCAGGGCTGGGCGCTGCTGGGGACGTGAGCAGAGAGGGCCCTGGTGTGAGGGGCGCTGGGCACAGAGGGGACACAGGGGGCAGGGGAGGGCTGGGGAATGCCAGGAGCTCTGCCAAGCGGGCAGCACGCTGCCTGTAGGGCAGGTGGCACCAAGGGATGCACAGCACATCCCCTCTCCGGGCTCCCCCGACAGGAGTCTTCCCTCTGACATCCCGAAGGAAGGGTCCTTGCCATGAGTGGCAATGGGTGCAGCACAGCTTGCAGGCACTGTGTCCAAAGGGGTGGTCACAACCCCCTGCGTGCTGTCAGCCTATTCTATGCTTCATCCATCACAAACACACTGATCACCTCACACGTTGAAGGCGCTGCAGAGGTTTGATGAAACAACCACAGCCGTGGGGCAGGCTGAAATCTCATTTACCATTAAATAAGAGAAATGCAGCCCACTTAATGAGCTGAACCCAAGCTGGGGCTGTTCCCAGCGTTCACGTCAGCACCGTGGGGCTTTGGGGCCCAACAGCTCCGTTATAAATAACACACAGTAACGCCTCTGGTGAGATTTCAGATCCTGCCAGACTCCAGCCCACCAGCTGGCCTGCAGCATGACTCCCACTACTTCTGGAAAAAAGACAAGATGAATTCATTGCTCACTTCGGTGGCAGAAGTTCCCACGTGCTCTTTTTCTATCCCACCACTCTGAGCTGCTGCATCTTTCATCCCTGCTCCCATTTTCATGGCATCTCACGTCACATTTCTAGCCCTTCCCCTCCTTGAGCATCCCTGATGTGATGCGGATAATTCCACTGTGCTCCTGGAATGCTTATCATGCTGGACACTCCAGGTCCTCCAGCACATTCTACCTTCATTCTCCCAATCAACAGCAGATTGCTGCAAAGCTTCAGGAATGCTCTCAGTGCCCAGAAAGTACCACTGCAGAGCCCGAAAGAAATCACCTGGTATTTTCGATGTCTGGAGACAAAGCAGAAGTGCAGCACATTTGTGTGCACGTCCCGTGGCACCTCTTACCTGATTAAAAGCCATGTACCCTTCAAGAACACACTGGGGCTTTCACCCCAGAGAAATAAATAAGATACTGACCACACCGAGAGGAAAATTTTGTCTTCCTCCTCGTGGTTACCAGTGGAACAATCAGGGTAATATGCAAACATCCCAGCTTGTAATCTGAAAGCTTGAGAATCATTTGGACAGATGAAGGTACAGATGATAGATGGAAGGATGGATGGATGGATGGATGGATGGATGGATGGATGGATGGATGGACAGACAGACATATGGACCGACACACAGATGGATGGGCAGATGCAGAGATGGACATGTGGATGGACGGATGGATGGACAGACAGACACGTGGATGGACAGACGGGCAAATGGATGGATGTATGGGCATACGCAAAGAAGATCACTGAGATGGATGGCTGGACACATGTATGGGGCAGGGGATGTAACTCTCAGAATCCAGCTTCCCACCCAGTGCAGCTCCCTGGGACTCCAGGAGCTGTCTGGCAGAGCAGCATCGACCCTTCCACACATGTTTACAGAGTTCTGCTCAGCACACGCACCTACTGGGGATGACTTGCAGAATACAAAGCTATCTATTGATTTGCAAGTGATGCAATTCCCTGCACACCCAGCCAACTGCTCGGCCACGCAGAGGCCTTCCATTCATTGCCTTTTTTTCTGGCCACACTGATTCACGATGATGACATTCCGATTTGCAACTCTGATCTCCTTCTTGCTGTGAAGCAGGCAACCGGCGCACTACCTGACACTGCCTTAACTACCTGCGTCCTCTGGCTGAGGCTGACAAATGCACTTCAGCAATGCAGTAATAAAACACAGAATCATAGATTCATAAAGATCGGAACAGACCTCTAAAACCACCAAGCCCACCCCCATGCCCACTAACCGCATCCCTCGGTGCCACATTTCCTGAACACATAAGCTGGAAAATGAGCTCGCTGAGATCCAATCCTTCCTGCAGCTTCACAGAGAGCCATTCTGAGATGTTTTCAGTAGGAAACAACATAAGGAATTGACAACAGCAGCAGGGCCATGAGCACAGCACTGCCAGCTTTGCAGCCGTTTGTGGGCACCAAGCAGCTCCCAGGCAGGTCCTGGCAGGACAACCTCCTCAGAGCACACATCTTTGCTAACAGCACACCAGGACCTTAAGGCTATGGGCACGCTGCGTGTAGCAGAAGTACACGGGCTGGACAGGTTTCCAACAGGCTCTTATTTTGATCTATTATTTTATTGTACCTTTAGGGGGCTTTAATTTCATGTTCCGGTTTGGCTACTTCCAAACTCCAAAGCTTTCTGAAACCAATTTGTGGAAGAGATGCTGCAGGGGATGCGCGTTCCCATGGCAGGAGGCGAAGGGACTGAACCAGAACCAATAATCATTTGTCTGATTGAAACAGAAACCACTACAAATTTTTCAAAATGAGTTTTACGCCTAATGTGAGCTGTATTAGCTCTCAATGCTCCAGTTCTTTTGAGATAGGCTTGCTGCATTGCCTCAGTTGGTAAGGAAGCATCGATGGTTGTTTTCTAGATGAAATTCGACAAAGAGGTGGAGAAAAAGTTCTCTAATTGTTTGCAGATTGTAATATTGTCACTTGTAAACACAGCGGCACCAGGAGGTGAGTTAGACTGAGTAGCTGGACAGCAATGTGTCAGACATCATAAAACCACAGAACTGAGAAGGCTGCAGAGACTCTCTAAGACCCCAGCCCACCACCAACCCTCTCCACTGACCACATCCCTCTGTGCCACATCTCCAGGGTCCTTGACTGGAACAGGTTGCCCAAGGAGGCTGTGGATGCCCCATCCCTGCAGGCATTCAAGGCCAGGCTGGATGTGGCTCTGGGCAGCCTGGGCTGCTGCTTGGCGACCTGCACACAGCAGGGGGTTGGAATCAGATGATCACTGCAGTCCTTTGCAACCCAGGGCATTCTATGATTCTATGACCTCAGCTCATTGCACCCAGGGCCAGGCAGCCCCAGCACGGTGCTTGGCTGGCTGCTGCGTGCCCCACCTGCAGCACAGAGGGAGTTGTGAAGAACGTAATTGCCTCTTTAACTTAGGTCATAATATTATGACTTCTTACCCTCGACGTGTTCTTTTTGTCTCTTTTTGTCTGCAACCCTTTAAGCTGTAGTTTTCAAGAGCATTAGCTCTCCTAGCTGCTTGAGTGCAGGAGGGGTATTTTTACCTAACAGCAGTCTGTGTTAAAACAAGCAGACGCCAATTTGGGAGTGCAGTACTTAAGGAGCTATTTCCTGACAGCAGACAAGGGAACGCAGCACTTTCCTCCAGCACTCAGATTGCTCCTTTCTGCTCCCCTTCCACAATGTGAGCTCCCGTCATGCTCTCACTTTCCTTGGAGTACAAATCCATCTGCATGAAAATGCTTTAAAATATTTCCTATTTTCACTTAACTTCATGACAGGGGAAAAAATGCCTAGCAGAGCGTGGTATCACCAGTGAAATCACAGAACCACAGAGCCATTCGGGATGGAAAAGCCCTCTCAGCTCCGCCTGCCCACCCTGTGCCCACTGCCCACGTCCCTCAGTGCCACCTCCCCACAGCTCTGAACACCCCCAGGGATGCTGACCCCCCACCCCTGGGCGGCTGTGCGGTGCTGAGCGCTCTTTGGAGCAGAGATGTCCCCCAGCACCCAGCCTGCCCTGCCCTGCACAGCGTGAGGCCGTCATCTCATCCCATTGCTGTTCCCTGGGAGCAGAGGCCAACCCCCCTGTCCCCAACCTCCTGCCAGGAGTCCAGTTCTGTGTGTTGTAATCCCTACCTTTGTACAGTCACTCTGCAGAAGATAATACAATATTTTGAACTTCAAACAGCAGCGAATCTTCAGTTTCTCCGACCCCTTCTGAGTTGGTTTCCAGACGTTGAGTTATCAATGTTATGATTTTGTTGAATAACTCATCTCCACAGAGTATTGAAAGTTCCCTTTCAGTGATACATCTCCTTAACAAAGAAGTAGCTCATATTGACAATGGCAGGTTTTTCATATTGAAATCACTCTCACTTGAACTTCCAGCAGCAGGATAATATGCACATTCCTACCCAATTCGTCCAAGTCAGAAGACTCTGGTGCACTGATTTTGTGCAAATCAGAACAATGATTCTTAAATGATTTACAAACACAGCAAATGTGCCATCATTATACCAGAGCACAACGCACCACGAAATACATACAGTTATGTTCAGAGAGGAAATGCACTTGCACTGAAGAACCATGAACCAAAGGGTGGCATTCTGGAGCAGGCTGCCCAAGGAGGCTGTGGATGCCCCATCCCTGCAGGCATTCAAGGCCAGGCTGGATGTGGCTCTGGGCAGCCTGGGCTGCTGGTTGGCGACCTGCACACAGCAGGGGTTTTGATGAGATGAGAACTGTGGTCCTTTTCAACCCAGCCTTTCTGTGTTTCTATGATTCTTCCGGACTGTGTGCAGATGGAACAAGACAGAGCACAGGATGTGTTCCACAGGGCTGACGCAGTGACTGCATGCAGGTTACTGAACACGTCCCCAGAGGCAGCAGCCCCAAACCACAACTCCTCCCCCTGCACCAGGGGCGGGTGGTGGCAGTCAGCTCTGCAGAAAGCAAAACAACCACCTGAAGAAGCACAGGGGAAAGGACTTCTTACAGCCACTGCCATTTCTGCCTTCTGAGCTATCGGCTGAGTTGACCCCAATTTGAGGAAGGCACACACAGACAGAACTTGAGGGATAAAAATCTCCTTTTGCAGCCAAGCAGAGCGCTTTCCACGTCAGAGCCAACCCCGTGGGCTACAGAGAGCACTCTCAGCAGCCCAGCAGGCAGATGGCACCGACCAAGCTTTATGTAACACAGCAGCACAAGACGCTTGCCCAGGTAACACTGCCTCTGTCGTCATTAGCAGCACGGGGAAAGCATCAGGGACACACAGCCCTGGGCAAAGGCAGCGTGCTGCAGCCCCTGCACGCCTCTCCCAAAGCACTGCTCTGCCAAAACTCACTGAAATGTCTGAGCTGTGCCAAAGGAGTTTCCTTATCAAGCCGGTATGAAAACTAATAGCAATGTGCAAATGTAGAGCTGTAACATAAAAGAGTAGGTGTATTCTGTTAGCCATAAAGGGAGCTTCTAGCACACTGCTATTATTGCAGAAGCACGTGCAATGCACAAACAGTAAGAAACGCCACTGAAGCACGCCGACAAACTCCAGCAGTGATGCCAACGCTGGTGTTCTGCCACTGCAGCTTCCCAGCACACCCAAGCAGCAATGTGGGGATGGCAGCAGCAGGGTCAGCCCACAGCAGCTGGAGATGTGCTCCAGATCTGCTGCAGTTACCTTGTGCCACTTGCAGCTCCTGGGAGCCTGCTTATGGAATTTTCTATCAGGAAACATTTTATGCGACGAAAGTGCAGTGCATTTGTTTCCTTGGAAACAAACCCTTTCAACCTCCGTTGCATAGAATCTTAAGCAAAAGAAAAGTCTGTAATTAGGCACAAGGTCTAGCTGTTCTAAGCCAGCAAGATGTTAAATCACAACTATTTTATTAGCAATGGAACACAATGAAAATGCACTTATCTCAATTATGGGAGTAATAAGTCTTCACATCAGCCAAAACAATAAATCCACTGAACCGCACTGAGAAATATAATTACTTGCTCATTTAACAGAATTTGGTAGGCTTTGATTGAGCCACACAGGGATGAACAGAAAGCCTCTAAGTGACAAACAACAAGGGAACAATAAGTCACACTTACTCATTCAGGAGACTTCACAGCCCTGAAAGCCACCCAAGCACTGGGTGCTGCCGCACTCGCTGCGACCGCGCAGCCACAAGGACCGACGCCGCCACTGAGTTTTACAATAAAATTATCTGAAAAGGTGCTCGTAGAATCATAGAAAGGATTCTAAAAAGAAACTGATGTCGGAAAAGACCCCCAGCATCATCACCCAGTCCAACTGCCCACCTTCCACCAGTGTTTCCCACTGAACCCCATGCCTCAGTGCCACATCCGCGCCTTCCTTCAACACCCCCAGTTGGTGACTCCCTGCTCCCTGTGCAGCCCAT